TCGTATCAATCAACTCAACGAACAAGTAATATCAGGTGTTATAGTACATAGGAGGTATCCATGCCAACGCAAGTAAGCTGTCCCCATATAGGATGAGTTATAAAATATGCATCTGCAGTCGAGCTGTCTTGGGTATGCGCAACCGTCATTAACATATGATTGCAAATATTTATCCAGGGACAAGACAAATGCACCCAGAGGCTAGTTAACCATGGGATGGGATTAGTACACATGTATATATGTACCATAGTGGATATAAGCAAAGTCAAAGAAAAAATGTAATTATGGGCAAAGATAATTACCAGACAGGTTATACATCAACAGTCTGTGTCTATGTACAGGGAGACGTTACAGTTAGTATGTAGTAGTAGTATGTCTCTAGACTAAAAACCATCAATAAAATAATGATTGAACATATTGTCATTAACAGAGCCAACAAATAATGCAAATACACACCGAGAGAAGCACTTGTGAATTTGTTCAACCCTTTAAGCCCTAAAATTTTTCCTGTCAAAAGTTTGGTGTAATATTTTTTTTTTTTTTAATTTTTGACCAAAAAATTACCCAGTATCTATAGGTTTTCCATGCATACTTATTTTGCAAACGGTGACAAAATTTGACTTTGGAATTTAAAAGGTTAAACAGAGATAATAAACCAATTATTAAAACTATATTCCCACAAACATTAATTTGGGGGAATTGTCACATTCATCTACACATTATGCATAGATTCTATACAGCCCATGTTTTAAGATGTAATAAATGCCTTTTCCCTGAGATAGGCGACAATGTTCCTAATACAGAGCCACATCTTCTAAGGTTAAAAAGCTACTTACTCATTCCTGGAGCACACATTGTTATTCTTGATATTGCTACTTGCGTTACGGCTTTAACAGCAGCTCTCTAAAACAAAATTAAATCGATGGAGAAATTAATCATGATTTTAAATCTGAATATAACTCATAATTTATTACAATAGATAAATAATAAATATCATACTGATATATATATATATATATTGACAGTTATTCAAAAATTGAAATAAACAAAAAGCTATTTTGAATCTAATCCCAAAACAAAATGATGAACATCAGTAACATTTTACGTGTGATTTTCATACTATTAAGTTTGAATAAAATTTGATGAAGCATGCATAAAAAACAATTGATCTATTTATTTTTTTTTCAACTTATTAGTTCACTTTCATAATTGTGTATTAATAAACAATTGGTAGCTAATGTAAATGACACATCCATGGTCAAATAAATCATACGATAAAAATTGAGTATACAATTAATGTAATTGTTGCATTATGTGTACCGGGACTTCTAATAGAACAACTATGGTACACACATTCACATCTAACTTACTTTTGATTTCCCAACTTCATTACCATTTTCGTCAAACAAATTAATACCATACAATAATTCTTGTTGTCGCATCAATGGAATATTGACAATATTAGCTGCAGCCACAGCACCAAATGGCACCCATCTAGCCAGCAATGGCGGGGCTGTCTGTAAGTGTTAAAATGATATCAGTCATTGAGTCATTGACACAGTGAGCCTCTGCCACAGTACCAAGCAGCACCCATCTAGCTAGCTATGATATCAGTCATTGACACAGTTAGCTGCAGCCACAGTACCATATGTCACTCAGCTAGCCAGCAATGTCAGCACGAATCAGCTGAGACACAAGAGTAATATAAATAATATTGCCGAAATATTGGAGTTTGTGCTCTCATGCAACAATAATATTTGCTGTCCTAATTATAATTTGCGACAAACGATCTTTGTAGCTGGGCACAAAAACCCATATTTGAGCAGTAATTAAACTTACTTTTGTGAGAGAATTGAGTCCTACGGATGCAACTAAAGCACTTCCTGTGGCACAGACATATGATAAACCAATTTGTCTGCAATACAAAAACACTGGTAGTAAAAGACATAGTAGTAAAAACAATAAAAGCCAATCAAAGTAATAATATAGGAAATGCAAAGAACTCAATATTGATGCCATTTGGTATACCTGAGTGTATTAAGAATGTTCCCTATGTTGTATTATCAACATTGATAAGGGTTACAGATGTGATGCTAATAGCACATGTATCAAACATGTTTAGCAACTGGTTAATGAAATGTATTGTGTGTGAATGTTCAGAAAATCTGTTAGCCAACCGCTTTTTTTTTGTTTCCCCAGCATGACAAACTTTTAAAAACACAACTTTAACTTTCTTATCTGCATATGCCACCATGTATGGTTATGAAATCTGCATATGCCACCATGTATGGTTATAAAATTTACATATGCCACAATGTATGCTTATAAAATCTGCATATGCCACCATGTATGGTTATGAAATTTGCATATGCCTCTATGTATGGTTATAAAATCTGCATATGCCACCATGTATGGTTATAAAATTTACATATGCCACAATGTATGCTTATAAAATCTGCATATGCCACCATGTATGGTTATGAAATTTGCATATGTCCCCATGTATGGTTATGAAATCTGCATATGCCACCATGTATGGTTATGAAATTTGCATATGCCTTCATGTATGGTTATAAAATCTGCATATGCCACCATGTAAAATGTGCATACACCACCACATACGGTTATGAAATCAGCTGTGTTCCCACGTAAGGTTATGAAATCTGCATATGCCACCATGTATGGTTATAAAATTTGCATATGCCACCATGTATGATTATGAAATTTGCATATGCCACCATGTATGGTTATACAATTTACATATGCCACCATGTACGATTATAAAATTTGCATATGCCACCATGTATGGTTATTATATTTGCATATGCCACCATGTATGGTTATACAATTTACATATACCACCATGTATGGTTATACAATTTGCATATGCCACCATGTAAAATGTGCATACACCACCACATATGGTTATGAAATCAGCTATGTCTCCACGTAAGGTTATGAAATCTGCATATGCCACCATGTATGGTTATAAAGTTTGCATATGGCACCATGTACGGTTATAGAATTTGCATATGGCACCATGTATGATTATGAAATTTGCATATTGCACCATGTACGGTTATAAAAATTGCATATGCCACCATGTATGGTTATAAAATTTGCATACAGCACCATGTATGGTTATAAAATTTGCATATGCCACCATGTATGGTTATGAAATTTGCATATGTCACCATGTATGTTTACACAATTTACATATGCCACCATGTATGGTTATAAAATCTGCAGTTGCCACCATGTATGGTTGTAAAATTTGCATACAGCGACATGTATGGTTATAAAATTTGCATATGCCACCATGTATGGTTATAACATTTGCATATGCCACCATGTATGGTTATAAAATTTGCATATGCCACCAAGTATGGTTATAAAAATTTCATATGCCACCATATATGGTTATAAAATTTGCATATGACCCCATGTACGGTTATGAAATCTGCATATGCCACCATGTATGGTTGTAAAATTTGCATATAGCACCATGTATGGTTATAAAATTTGCATATGTCACCATGTATGGTTACACAATTTACATATGCCACCATGTATGGTTATAAAATGTGCATATGCCACCATGTATGGTTGTAAAATTAGCATACAGTGCCATGTATGGTTATAAAATTTGCATATGCCACCATGTATGGTTATAACATTTGCATATGCCACCATTTATGGTTATAAAATTTGCATATGCCACCATGTATTGTTATACAATTTACATATGCCACTATGTATGATTATAAAATGTGCATATGCCACCATGTATGATTATAAAATTTGCATATGCCACCATGTATGGTTATGAAATCTGCATATGCCACCATGTATGGTTATACAATTTGCATATGCCACCATGTATAGTTATAAAATTTGCATATACCACCATGTATGGTTATGAAATTTGCATATGCCACCATGTAAAATGTGCATACACCACCACATATGGTTATGAAATCAGCTGTGTCCCCACGTAAGGTTATGAAATCTGCATATGCCACCATGTATGGTTATAAAATTTGCATATGCCACCAAGTATGGTTATAAAAATTTCATATGCCACCATATATGGTTATAAAATCTGCATATGACCCCAAGTAAGGTTATGAAATCTGCAGTTGCCACCATGTATGGTTGTAAAATTTGCATACAGTGCCATGTATGGTTATAAAATTTGCATATGCCACCATGTATGGTTATAACATTTGCATATGCCACCATTTATGGTTATAAAATTTGCATATGCCACCATGTATGGTTAAACAATTTACATATGCCACCATGTATGATTATAAAATTTGCATATGCCACCATGTATGGTTATAAAATTTGCATATGCCACCATGTATGGTTATAAAATTTGCATATGCCACCATGTATGGTTACACAATTTACATATGCCACCATGTATGGTTATAAAATTTGCATATGCCACCATGTATGGTTATAAAATTTGCATATGCCACCATGTATGGTTATAACATTTGCATATGCCACCATATATGGTTATAAAATTTGCATATGCCACCATGTATGGTTATACAATTTACATATGCCACCATGTACGATTATAAAATTTGCATATGCCA